TCTCCTCCGGGATTCTTTTTTTTTTGTCTCCGCTCATCGCTAGCGACTATGAAATTCTAATCTACCTCCTTGCAACGCGCGCAGGAAAGGGTGAAAGGGCGAAGGGAGAAGGGGGGGGGGCCAAGGGCTGCGTGGAAAATCGAGGACATTCACCGGAATTCGAAGGTGTTCCTCCCGATGAACCTCACGAATAAATATCGTATAACTTCGTATAATGTAACGACGCAACCGGCCACGGAGAAAGAAAAAAAAAAGGCGGGGTCCTGTTTGGCCGTGATGACATGCCAGGACTGACAGGAGGCAGAGGAGCGTGAAGGAATGAGGTGAAAAATGAATAACTGTTGAACAGGATCTCCCGTGTTGACCGAGCGCAACGGAAAAAAAGTGGCTGGCAAAAAGGAAGCGCGGAAGAGAAGGCTTAGGTCCTTGCATTTCCCTCGGAAACCTTTCCGCCGTTTTGACCCCCGAAGGATCGCCGCAGGATGATTCTCTCCCGTCCCGAAATAGCCGGCTTCGCCGTTTTTGTCGCAGTCGTATAGTTTTTATCGGACGCGCATACTTGCACGTCCCTTCCGTGCTCTTTGTCGAGAAATTAGCGTAACCGGTGATTAATCGGTCGATTCAACGGATTTAATGATTCGAAAGGCTCACCCGGTAGATAGAACAGACATTCCGCGTCCTATCTGAGAATCTAAAGGAACAAACGGCTTCCTGAGTTTTACGCGACGTGGGCCAACCGCAAGGGGCGGAATAAAACGTGCAGCGACGTGCATTAAGTTGCTACCGTGTGCACGGCGTCCTCCGTTCTTGTATATATTCATAGGACGCCATGCCGAAACTTTTCGGCACGGTGACTTCCTTTGCTACTGTACTCATGTAAATATCGAAAAATATGGAAAGGAGCCTGTATGCATACGCGCATTTGATAAATGAACATCTAGTAAAAAATATTTTAAAATATAAATGAATATTTTTTCGCATAATCAAAATTTACAGATTTTAATAAAATATGCTATCATATAAAAATAATAAATTATCTGCAGTTATCACAAAAAAATCTTAAAAAATTTAATTCTATAACTACAATAATTTTTTCATATTTCTTATTTTTACAGTAACATATTTCAATAATTGAATTTTTGACATTAACAATAGAGACGAATTCCTCTGGCTGTTGTAATGCCAGGGTTAATCCTTGCGAAAACAGTTATTCATTCAGGTAGTCGCATATTTCTTCAACGCTTACCCAGGCACGTTGCTTTTCTGCGGAAAGAGAGAGTTGCGATAGAATACGACGCGTCATTGTTCTTCTGCAATTGCAACGGCAGAGTGTCGCTCGACTTTCCTTTTTTTTTTCCCGCTCGCAACGCCGAGATAAGAGACTTTTGCACGCATGAGAAATGCGCGACACCACGGTCCAGATTAGTTTCGTCTACTTGTTGCTCTCTTACCACCGTATTCCCATAAAGTGCATTAAAGTATACATACCTCCATACATTTCTCAGCGCGCGTATACACTTGCGAGAAATCGTAACTCTCTTGGTCCACTATTTTATTAGTTACATTGATAATAAATAAATGTAGGAGAAACTGTGGAAGCATGTGTATCTCGTGTTATACACGTCAGCGAAGAAATTAAAACGGCGGCTTTAAATTTAAACGGCAAGCAGAGACTTTCGCGATACGTTCCGAGTAATAGCCCGATATACGTCTGTCCGTGAAGCTTTCAGAACGGGCAGGATGCGGGTTTAGAAACGACCGCTTTATTTATGGATCATTCACACGTATGAGCGCGGCGACACGCTCGCTTTCTGGAGCTTAATGGACCGTGAGAGCGGACATCGGGGCTATCTTCTTTCGTAGAGTCTTCTCGAGGCGCGCGCTTCTTCAAGGGTGTGTGTACGTCTCCACGGCGTTTCCCGCTCGACGGCTTCCCAAGAATGTACTTTTTCGACCAGAAAACTTGGATTTACGACGAGAGAAAACCTACCCCGGATGTCCCCGGGCGATGTAAGCTGACGAAACATCTGTTGTTTGGTTGCGCGCGTCCCTCAAAAAAATTCGTATATAAATTTCTCGAGCAACCGCGACGAATTAACGGCCGCGCCTTTCGAAACAATTCGCTCCGATCATCGAGCGTCAGTTTTTAGAAACTTTATGACCTCTTCCGCAATTAGAGCAATTAACATTTTCAAATTATATAATTGCCGCAACATCGATGCGCTTGGTTGATTTTAATAAAAAGGAAAAAATTTGAAGCATCCTCAACTTTGCGAGGTTTGCCGATGAGTCAGTACTTCGTAACGCGTTCGTGGAAAAATCTCACGCGTAGAGAACTTTGTCGGCATAGACAAATGAAGTGACCATGAATTTTATGGTGACTCACTGTGACTGGCGTGAAAATTATTACATGGTTAGAGAAGGCACCACATCACTTGTAACATCCATACTATCCGCGAAACCAGGCATAATTTGCCTCCACTCATCTTCATATAGTTGTTGTGGTCTCGAATTAAACTAAGGAAAGTCGATTAATCGGAATTGGAAACTCCGATAAAAAAAACTTTAATAAAAAGTAAAGCATGATCTGTAACAGTATCATAAATTTTGCTGTTAATCTATTATGAATCATGAGAATTATATCTTCATAACTTTTGTAAAATATCTAATCGTAAATATCTAAACGCGTGATCGATAACCGTTACAAGATTAAATTCAAAATCGTCCCGCCCATTTCCTCAATTATTAATGGAATCAAAAAATGAAGAAATATAAATATATAATTCTGCCAGTTACATCGCTCTGCTGCAGATTCTAGCAACTGCAACGTTGTCGAATGTTATTAAAATAATTTTATCGACACGAACGAGATACATCGCGCGAATATTGCACAAATTCGCGAGCACTCCAAGCTGAATGCTCGACGATACTAATCTTTAATTCGTCAACATTTACTGTTGACTCCGACGACTTTCGACGTGCATTGTATACGTGCGCTATTACGACGAACGAGCCCGACGATCCTCTTGCACCTACGGCAATTTCGAGACTAATTTTCCGTTAGAATTAGACACTCCATTGTTGTCTGTCGTAATAATGGCGACAACGTAAGAAAGCGAAACGAGTGGGGTTACCTAACACTCGATGGGGAACAAAGGGTTAATTGGCGAGGATCGTTTGGGCGAGTCATTTTCCGCTCCTGACGAAAAGAAATATTTCCGGACGAAGGGCGTGTCGTAGGTCGTTTTTCCAGATGCGTGGTCACGTCCATAGCATTCACATACGTTCATTGTCAGTATAGAAACGCAGGTGAAGAATCTTAAGGCGTTGGGTAAGCCGATTGTTGATATCAACCAAAGGAATTTCAGGCATCCCATCTATTCCATCTGTCCTTTCGATAGTCCGTCCTAAAGCTTATAAATAGCGTCCTTCGGAGATTGTTGTTGTGATAACTTTCGAATGAAAATGTCGAATGATTCGAGTAATGAAGCTAATTCTTTCGAAAATATTTAAGTGCGACGAAATATTCGAAAGACATCGAATTTCTTGGATTTAGCATCGAATATAATAGCAGTTAGTTAACTAGTAATTTCAAAAATTGCGAAGCCTTTTCACAGGATCTTTTACAAATTGCTGAAGCAGCAATTTTTTCTGCAGTAATTTAATATTGCCGATGAGGGCGGGATAATAATTTTATTCCGCGGACGAAGGTAGCAAATTGCCGTCATTCCGGCGACGGACGGTGGATTCAGAATGCCTCGTAGACGTTGTAAGATTAGACGAGGGCGACGACGGGTATTCGTCCCGTCGCAGGAAGGAGTCGCGCGGCAGGATCTATTTGCGTCCCGGAGTCCGGCGAAAATAGCCGCCTGAGTGCTATGAGTCGAGAAACGTAGGCGGTGTGTGACGCTGTTTTCGGTCGTTTGAGTCGTTTAGAAATAACCGTAGGGTGCCGATGATACCGTCGGCTTATCGCCCACGTCTTTCGATCGGATGACGTCAATCTCTCGATTCATCGCCCTTATCATCCTCCTCCTCCGCAAATTCTCTCTTTTTGTTCCTTTTTTTTATACCAAAGTGGAAGATGAGCTTACGCCGTAAATCACGTCCGTAACGAGCGCTCGTGACGTACACCTTTTACGGAGCAGCCATTCGGCCGCGAACAGTATGACGAAATACACCGTCTGCAGGTTGGTTTGGCACGAAATGACACCACGGGCATCGATTACGTCGGAAGCTATCAGCTAATTCGGGACAGCGCAAAATCGCGAGCCGGAAAATTGGTCGAAGTCGATCTCTCGCGACGTTTGCACTGAGAGAAAAGAAATAGTTGCAATTACTATAATTTAACTATAATGTATATAGTCATTTTCGGGGTGCCAATTATATATTTGTTTGGCAGAGCTATAAATATAATTATTGTTACTAACATTACAGTTGTAATGACTATAAAAATGGAGCCTCTAATCGTAATTATTTTACCATGCAATTACAGTCACAAATGCAAAACACTTTTCTCCCGGTGTGCGTTTCACGGAAACACTGCGACAACGCGTGATTTTGCCGCGGCGTTGTGAAATGTTTTCATTAGATTTCAGATTGATAAACGCGATCACCGTCGACGAGATGCGGCGCGGCTTGTATCACAACACTTCGATTGCGCTTGTATTATTGTAACGAAGATACGATATATTGTTCGTCCAATGCAAAGTCTCTTCCGCCGCCCGTTTGCGGCCGGGCATCCGCGATAAATGCGTGAATCATCGATTCTCCTCTCTGACTTAATCTTGAAACCGCGGCGTGAATATTAATAGCGCCACTATACCATCTACGGCGTGCGCTATTGAACGCGATGAAACTGAAAGTTCATCGAGAGAGGGAGAATTTCTAAGCGGAGCGTATATCGAGATTTAATCGCTGCGAATTAATTAGCTCAATTGTTATATCATGAACGGTGAATTGATCTTTACGCGCGTTATCTCTTGCTATTTGGGTTTCAGGCGAGCTGTTCGTGGAGGATCTCGGCGAGAGAAGGACGGTTTCCATCAGGATGGGCTGGTTATGGGTGGAGGGCACCCCGATGAGGTTAGCGTTGCGAGCGTTGAATCTCCGTCAAGCGCCGCCCAGCCTCGGTCAACCGCACACGTTCGCTCTAGGGTTTACCTTGAGCAACTCACAGGGTCGTTCGCTTGCTACGTTTTGGGTAACTATCGCCAATAATTGAAGTTTTTTTCGCAATTTTTTTTTACCTATCTTTTATAAGATATAAACATCAGATCGATAAACATCAGTTTGCCTATTTCGCCGACGAGTCGAATAGCGCGATTTCGTAAGAGAAATCGGTTTCTACTCAATTGGAAAGGAATTCTCCGATTACTCTCGATCCCTGACCAGCGCAACCGGCGTGTTCCGAGGGCTAGAGAGGCTTTCGTGAGAGCCGAAAGCGTTCGCGCGATTTGGCATGGTTCCACGGTGGACGGAATTGGCCGTGGCGTTCCTCGCCGGTCGCCGCGGCGACCGTAAGACAACCGAGAGAGAAGCGCGGACGAGGACAAGACGGGCGAGGGCCCGGGCAGAGGAATAATATGCCGCACCACGCAATGTAATTGCATGTAAATGGCCTTTATCTCCAGCACGATCCGTTTCCTCAGCCGTAAACACTTTCACGTGCGCCGGGCGAGCCACGCGGGCTCCCGTTTCGCTGAACGCTGCAACTCCTAATTACGGACCCGCCAGCGTCGCCATTCGATTTCTAACGCGTTATACAATCCCCTGTGAGCGAGCGAGCTAGCTAGCGTGTTCGTTCAGCCCGTGCGAATTTCCATCGCGCGAGCCAGGCCGATCTTTTGACGCGATCTCTATAGAAAATCCACCCAAAATTCAAATCCGCGCGCAGATTTCTCCTCGCTTTGCATAGAAGCCGCCGTTCGCCGGCTTCGCCGTCCGCTTTCAGATCCGCGCGAAGAGTCCTCGAAACTCGTTTTACGAGTTTCGCCCTGGCGCAGCGTCGGATTTTCACCTTGCTTTTTTCTCTCCGCTCGCGGAATAATCCAATTAGAGCCTCTCTTAGCGCGCAGGCGATCTCCCTAAGTCGATGGGACGGCGCGGCGCGCTCGACCGACCTTGACGAAGACGCCTTAGCACGCGAATGTGGGATAAGGCGCTCTTGAAACGCTAACTCGAAACAGCATATAGGACGTGTACGAGGTATCCTTGCCAAGGCCGCGGATGTCCAGGTGGCGGAGGAGGAAACGAACGGCGGCGGCGGCGGCGGCGTCGTGATGTAACGCACGCCCGCCCGCCCGCCCGTCGAATCGCGCGAGATCTTAATAAGGCCAGTAGGCAAGGTCAACATACCCGCTTGCCGATCCGCTTGCCGTGATAAATGCGTGGGAGATTGCTGCACCGCTCTCCCATGACCCGCCATTGTCAAGGAATCCCACCACGTCGTCCGCGCCGCTCTCGCAACCGAGGGAGGAGAGTTCCTTCGCCTCCCCGGGCGCTCGACGTTCCAAGGACGCTGTCTTGCCTGCGTCGCGCGCGTGGCCGGTCAATCGGACGAATCCTTCGACATTATAATAGGACGCGTTCCGCGTTTTCACGCCGAGTCGACTTAACGATGCTAATTGAAGTAATTTGCGGGCAACTGCGCGAGAGAGGACTGCCCCTCCTCCTCCCCATTGATGATCGCGCGCCGCGATTAGAATCGCGGATCGATGAGCACCGTTGCCTAAGGAATATAAGTACCACGGCCGAGAGCTCTCGTGCCATTTTGCACGCGCGCGACGTGTTTCTCCTCGCGTCGCTTGCTCATAGCTCGACGCTGCGTCATGGTTTTCGATCGAAAGCGGGTTTTCCATGCTGTCCTCGAGATAGACAACGAACGGGCAAACCTGTCGGCGAGCTTTTTTCCAGACGGAGCCCCCGATATCGGCCAGTGCCGTCGAACGCGCGCGTGTACGCGCGCCGCATGGAGGCGCGCGAAGGTCGGGTCTTGGCGAGCAGGCGACAAGAGAGATTTGTTTCCGTCCGGGGGATGGTAATGATCGACACGCCGCCGGGTGGTTAACGAGCAAATTCCACGTTGTCGGAGAGCACGTCGTTCGTGTGCTCGAGCGAGCGAACCGGCGGACTTTCGAATCACCGGAGCCAGGCGAAATCGTGTGTCACGGTCGATCCCGCGGGTAGACAGACCCGTTCGACTACTCCGCGCTACAGCATCCAGATACCCTACCGTACGAGAATATGAAATCCGAATACGCATAACCGTCGGCAATGTTGTTGGTCCTACATTCTCGCCTATATATGTTAAACCACATTCTACTTACTCGTGTGAAAACACCGATATCGGGATTATCGATCAATTTTAATCGCCTTGATTCGTATCAACTTTAATCGCCATGCAGACCCCTGGAAAGCGGAGGCTTTTCTTGAAAAAGTCACGTATATAAAGAGTCAACTCTTTTTATGCATTGTGCATGACGTATTATGCTTACATGATCAATAGTGCGCGGAAAATCATTTACGATACTAAAATTTTATTTAAAAGAATAAGAACATTGAAAGCGCATTTTTTTGGACTATACATTTTCTACATATTTAAAAAGATTCAGTTTTTTTTATATTTTTAATGTTCCACAAATGCTACCTGATCAATTAATTTCACAGATGTTTTTTTAACGGAGCATGTCAATCTTTTTATCTGTTCAGGCGGATACGGAACCGATCTATTGGTCTTGGGTCAGAGCGATCGCGGCCGAACTAGTCCGGCAAACGCCGTTTCGCGCTCAACGATGCTTGAACTTCCTGGAGATATTGACCATTTGTCCGAGAGGCCCGGTTCCGTTGCCGGACAGCCCGACGGAAACGAGGAGGCGATCCCGCAGCGAATTACGTTGCTGGCCGAGCGACTCGCCGATGGAGAAGACGGCGATGTGCACGACGACGATCCTTGACGATTCTAGGAGGAGGGCGAGGAGCGAGTTGCGCGGTTGGTCCAGCAGCAACTCGAGCGACGAGGACCTCCTGGGAGAATTTCGGAGCATACCCACTGTGATAAGCGGCAAGGACCAACCGGTCGGCAGGGCGTGGGGTTGCAGCGAAAGCAGCGAGGGTAGCGACGACAGTCTCCCCTGGGGTGGCGTATGCCGGTCGACCGATGCGGTGGACTCCCGCAGCGTTCCCTTACCGGAACCAGAAACGCGGGAACAGAGGATACAGAGGTACAAAGAGGCGCGCAGACGCGAGAACGAGGCGAGGAGCCGGCGGGTCCTCGAGGAGGACGCGAGGCGAAAGGCGAGAGCCGAGGAAAACAACAACAACTTGCCGAAGGTCTACGGTAGAACCAGGAGCAGGATTAGCGCCGCCAACGACAACGACGATGCCCGTCTGACCCGCTCGCCGAAGAAGGAACTTCCCACGCTGACCGACACGCGGAGGCAAAACGACAATTCGATCGTCGATCGACTACCTCCGCTCAAGCCGCACGAGTCCACCACGGTCAGGTTCACCGAGGAAAATCATCGGAACGAGGACGACAAGCGAAACAACAACAGCAGTCCCAGATGTGCAAACGGTAGTCCCGGGATACTCAGATCGGACATCAGCGAGAGGAGAAGTAGAGCCAGAGAGAGGAAGATTTTTCGTGAGAAGGTGTCGCAGATCCAGCACTCACAGACACAATTCACCGGCACTACTATTGCTAACGTGGAGACTCTAAGGGAACGAAAGGAGCGGTTGGCTCTTCTGTCTTCCAGAATTCCCATTCCCCGTCAGTCATTGCAACTGAGCGTAAGGTCCACAGATTGCCCGGTGATCGCATCGCCGGGCTCACCGTCGGCCTTGACGATAATGCCACCCTGCGAGGAGGAGGTCGCCAAGCTTCTGGAGCGATGTCAGAGGGTGGATCACTACGTGACGGTGCGGGAGAAGCTGACCCTCTTCGAGTCCCTTTCGAGATTAGGCGGCCGTCTGGCCAGGAGCACGGAGGATCTCGGCCGAACGGCTTCCAAGCCCAGTCCCAGGGGCAAACAACGCGCCCGGTCCCTTCACGATCTCAACAGAGGCGCCCGGGGTCTGCCTGTGCGAGAGATGTGCCGATTCTTCGAGGGCGATCTGGAGCAAGACGCCTGCCAGAAGGCGATAAATCTCGCGAAAACGAGATTCAGCGATCCGCCCGCGAAGAACACGTGGAAGGATCATCCGAGTGCGAAGCACGAGGCATCGTGCATCAGCGCTTCCGCGAGAAAGAAGCATTATCTGAAGTGAACGCAGCTGGCGAATCGTTCGTTCAGAATGAAAACATCCTCGAGTTCACGATCGTCTCATTGAAAATGAAGTAGCGAGCTCAAAGCATAACGGAGTAAATATTCGATTATCATTATTCTTATATCTTCCTCTCAGCATAAATTTTCATAAATTATGCAGATTTCTCGGAATCAGCGTAAAGCTAGAAAAGATTTTCCGATCGAACAAACCAGGATACATTTCCTCTCAAAACCTAAAAGTATATATTATGACGACTGAATTCCGTTTCTACCGCGTGACTGATAAATCAATTGTGCATATTAACTGTCATATATAGAATCATCAGAAGTTCGCGAACGTTCCTCTACCGATGACAATCAGTTTCTCGACGATTCCTCACGTAGGATTCCCGGTGTGCGAAGGTAACTCGATTTAGCCGCGCTTATCAAACACGTGGATTAGAATCACCTCCGTTTGATTGTGTCTCGCGGGCGACGATTGTCACACTTGCGCCGAGAGAAAGTCGCCGCTCGCGCGCGCGCAGGGGCCTTTTTTCACGCTCGAGGCCCCGAACTGTGCTCGATTCTCTTGGAATTACCGGTTGTCGCGATCGGCCGTCAAAGTGGAGGGGAAAAAAAAAAAGATGTCGATACTCAGTTATGTGCGCGTCTTACGAAAGTGAAAATAGAGAATACCAATTGTCATAGAAATTTCTTACCTCAGAATCAGATTTCACCTTTATATATTCGCTACGCTATAATATCGTTTCGGATTATAGACAATTCGCGTTTGTTTGCATTAAAAAATATCGAATTGGCATATAACGCTTGTCGATTGTGCGTATTAGGCGGGATCAAGCGTGGCCGATCGTGACACGGGGGGAATGACGGAAAAAGAAAGAGAGACAGAGGAATAGAGAAAGAGAGCGGAAGGGGGGGGGAATCAGAGAAACCGGTAATTTACGTTCACCGAGCGATTGCCGCAACGTTGAACACCTGTATGTATACAAACTATATACATACAGCGAGCCGATCGCCGAGCTCGTTTTTCGATTAGCCTGAATTTTCGATCGTCTGGATTTTAATCAGGCAACACATTCTCATTTAAATATCCAAAGAAATGAATGATGAGTATTGTGAATGTTTATATGACGTTTGCCCCCCAATTATACAATAATTACAAGAAATTACATGAAATTTGTATATAATTGACTAATTTCATTCTGTACCTGAAATCGTTGGTTCTACGTCTTCTTCTACTTAGGCTATAGTTTAACTTTTGTTATATTATCCTCGTTGCAACTGTAAATAAATGTCTAATTATCGATTTATATGATTTATATGTACATATATAAATATATATATATATATATTTATGTATAATATGTAACCTTTGTTGAGTGTGTTAACGTGTATTATTTGCCATTAGGGCGGCGATCGCCCTCCGTTGAATCTCTCGAATTTCCGTCGAGAGCCAGGAGTACGGACTAGAGTCGACTTCCGCTTATTTCGAATCGAAACGATAATTTCCGCTCGTATAAAACTCCCCTTACTCTCTCGTTCCTTTTGGTAATTGATAACGCGCGCAATGTATAGAAATAAAATATAATATGTTCTAATCCCATATGAATGAGTAAAAATGAAGTGACAAAATAAAGAAATGAATCTGACTTTGAGAGAAGATATAAGATAAAAGAGAAGAACAATTGTGTTTGATGGGAAAGACTTCTTAAAACGAAACCTTGTTGTTTGTCCAATTTTTAAATATGAAGTTTTTAAATGAAGAAATTATAATACTTCCTGATTAAACGATAATTATTATACATTGTTTTGATAATTATTATAAATTATTTTGATAATTACATACGCTTACCGAAATTGATTGTTTCGACAACATTTGTTACAGCCAAGACTTGGGAAATAATAATTTGTATAGTTAATTGAACTTCCATCGAGACGTTTTGTGCTCGAAAAGGACCGCCACTTATTTTTGTATTCTCGTTTGTTATATAGTATATGAAGTGCGATTTTCTTGCGTTATATGTATAGAATTGTGAACGTAATGTAACAGAATAAGGAGGATTATATTGTAAAAATATTGCGGAAAATCAATTCGAGACAGAGCGATCGAGAGTTAATTTCTTCATTAATTATTCGCATATGATTGTTCTCATTGAAAGTGTTCTGGAGTTCTTTATGATGAAATTTACGTTCGTTTGGCATTGTTGATTAATTTTTACTTAAATATTAATTGAAAAAAATATTGACAATATTACAAAATAGTAAAAAATTAGTTATATTGCTATTACATATTAACTTACAATTATTGCACATTACAATTGTTACATATTAACATATGTGACATATTGAACATTATTAAAATTTTTTCAATTAATATTTAAAACGTATTTTTCGTATTTCTGAAAGAATTCCAAGATACTATCAAGAGACCCGATCGCGAAGTTGCCAGCAGTCGACGACCGTCTACAGGGTGATCGAAATGACCCCGTTATCGTTGTATTTTGTAGTAAATTCGGTCAAACGGTGTCATTTATCAGTGCCACCCGGTACGAAGGGTTGCTCGCCAAAGAGGTCTTCTAGTCCCTCGGTCGGATAATTCCGTAAGGTTATCCCCCACATATGTATAACTATACTCCTCGATATATATTCTGATTTTTATTATCCCACGAAAATACTTGTCAAACGGTACGGAATCGCGTACCGTCCGCGGCGCAATTTACGCGGCGAAAGTTGCGCGTCTTTGTATTTACCTTTGTTGTAATAAAAAGGCACGAATAATGGCCGTTACATAAAAGTGATTGTTGTTAGAAAGCCGGGGTCTCAGTGACCGACGCGTCGGTGCATTCCTAGCCCCCCCTGTTGTTTCTTTTCCTACGGTTATTTACGCTCCTGTCTTTTTCATCCGAGCGCTCGCCCACGCAAATCATTGTCTCCCTTCTCTTCTTTCTCCAACGTTTATTTCGACACGCGGTGATGCAGATTTTTGCGAAAAACGAACTTAAATAGACTTGCGTTATTTTGCATAAACGTCGAACGCGTGCAATTCCCGAGATAAATTTATCGCGTTTAAATCAATCCCGACGGTTTTGGCGATGAGCGAATATTATGATTGACGGTTCAATTTCCATTAGCGACGTGTTTCATAATTGTTTTCAGTCGCTTTCCTTTCCGTGGCCGCGGCTCGCCTTCGCCATTCGTGAAAATTCGCTAATTATCCAGTTTTCGCAAGATCAAACAGCAGTTAGGAGATTGCGTTGCGGTATTACGGTATTCTCATATGTGTATACGAGAGCAGCACCGTGCCAGTCAATGTTTTCCAGATGAAACGTCATAGAAATTCATGAGTCGCGATTGTTACACAAACTCGCGGGAAAGTATCTCCGCGCACGGACGCCTCTCTGCATTTTGCAAGAAAACGAAAACGAAGCCAACGAGACAAGAAAATGCGGGGCAGGTTTTTTCGAAGAGATATATATACGCATCCTGCTCTTAAATGTCGCTCGAGTATTTTCTATTGAAAATGGAAATGGAAACGATTTCTGATCTCCGTGTCTGATGTCCGAAACGGCGGTTTCTTTCAAGGTTTGCCCGACTAGCGTGTGTATTTAAGATTCGCGTTTACATAACGGCCATCGGTACACTTTACTCCGATGTTTATTCATTCGGTTATTTACGCACGAACTCGTGCTCGCGCGTTTATATCACCGCCCACTTACCGTACGTGCGCGCATATAATTTTCGTTCCGCGTGTTCAGGTAAAGCTATCAATTTCGCGGGGAGAGTCGACTGCTGAGTTCTGCAGTGATCAACTTGCAATTTTTGCTTATGCGACGGGATTTTAGACTCCCGTCAGGATAGCGCGTGGCTCTGCAGCTAAATTCTGCGACAGTGTCGTTATCATTGCACAGATATAATATATGGTAAAAGAGCTGCGCAACGACAACGATAACGAACTGTCGTTACAGAATTTAGCTTCCTCTCGCGGCTCAATGATACGTCTTTGGCACTGCAGACGCGCGCGCGATGTCTCCGCAATCCAATAAGTTTCCAAAATAAAAGTAAAGGACTCCGTTCTCCTTTCTTCTTTCCGACCAATCGATTTCCAATCCCAGGATAAAATATATATATATATATATATATATATAATATATCGGATACATCTCTCGGATTCCGCTACACATCGAAGAAGAGACATCGCACAGACTTTCACCCGTTACAGCCGCCCAAGTTTATTTTTAAATTGAGATATACGCGAACTCTTTTTTTTTCCCCCTCGGTGTAAATGCTTCTCATCAAAATTCATTGAAACTGTCGTTCCGATTATATTAGGGAAACCTGTTTGTGAGAGATAAATTTCAAGTTTTTAACGTATATACGCCAGGATGGCGGAAGAGAAATGTGGATATACACGCTTTAAATCTTTCTCGGTGTCTGTGACCGAGAAAAAGTCCGCGGTGTTTTTAATAAGCCCATACATTATAGAAATCGACAGTCCAACAAGACGGCGACATCGGTCCCCGGATATTATCGGGACAAAAAAAAAACACGGCGACTGTGTCAGAAGTGAGGTAGTTCGCGTAGTTCGCCGTTCGCGCGCTTAACGTAATGTTTTTATTATAATCCGTATACGTGCCGCACAGTTACGCGAGCTGGAATCTGTATGTAATACATACATAGGTGCACGCATAGAAATCGCACGCACCTGCGCCACACATCGCGGTTCGTTTCCAGCACGTTGCGTCGCCGTCGCTTATTTGGAGCGCATTTAATGTGCGTCGCAACGATAACGTACGTGCAGCTCGTTAATTTCAGCGCGTTTTTTAGACAGTCTGGATGATGTCATGCGACAAAATTAATTTATTTCGTACACAAAAAGGGACGATCGCGTATCGTGCTTGCTGTAATTTGGCGAGTCGGATTTGATTTACCGCGGCCTGGCTTGGTTTGATGCGCGCGAAGAAACGAAAGGCGTGCGAAAGCACATCCATCGCTACACACAGAAACGAAAGGATTTTACGAAGGATTGAAAGAATACCGCTGGTCGCGAACGCGCTCGCGTAATGAAAGGTCACAGCGCGGTGTCGTGCGCGATTTCAAGTTCGCTCGGCGCAAGTGATATCAATGCCGGAGTGCGATTGCCAGATGAACATTTAAATGTCGGCGATACTCGTAAAGAACAATCTATACGTTTCGATTCTCCTCGTTTGAGAAGAGATCAATCGCGATGACGCGCGGCCAAAGGTCACGACAAATAACATACTTCTTGCCGAATAAAAGAGTAAAGAACAGAAACTAAAAGATTTTTTCATTAATCAAAACGATTATAAATTATTTTACATAAAATATAATGATACGATTGCTTAATAACATAATTATGCTAAAATAACTGTTGCTCGTTTTAACAGATTGGGAAAAAAATACATATAATATTTTTTTAGAATGTACTCCACATATTGAAGCAAAGACTTGTAATATGTCAAGGAGATCTAGTTATAATAGAACATCTCTCGCAGATGACGGTCATAGAGAGGACATTACGGTCTTAAAACGGTTTTGTACGTAACGAGCAGAACGGTCTCGGCATTATTATCGCGATAAGAAACCGTTTTGGATGCGACACTCGAGGAGAGAGATGCCAACACACGGGGGAATCTTGTGAGAAAAGATCTATAGCGGAACGATCAACGTTAATTGAGTAATGTCCGATTGGTAAAGGTCGGCAATTATTTACGAAGCAGAAAGAAATTGTTCGATCCACGATCCTAATAAATCATAAGGCACTCGTTAAATGCATTTATCGCGAGCCTACGCACGCCGGCTATTCCGTATGACTTTACGTTCAGTTCGCAAGAAACGCGAGTAATCGAGTGAGTGGCCTTGATAGCCGCTGGTACCGGCCATGGTAAGCGGTCCGACTTCTTTAAGCAGACACGGAATGAATATTGCGGCACTCGGCCGAGTCGTCGATCGATCGATGCGGGTCTGTCTAATCGTAAACTAGATCGCTATACGGAAGAAATGCACAGTGATTCAATCATGCACGATCGTTTAGTTAAGAAAACGATTTATAGTCGTGTGGATTATAGTCTCTTTTTATTCTTTTGATGTCTTATATCCGAAATCAAGAAGATTTATTAAGATTTATTAATAAATTAATTAATCTACTTAATTTAATAACGCAAATATATTAATAAATCTACTTTTTTATTATTTAATCTATTTAATTTAATGCGTTAAAATAATGCGATTATTACGAAAGAAATCTCGGCGTTCGTTCAATTAAATCACAAAGGAGTTTACGTAATCGATTTTCATTTTTACTTATTACATTCATTTTAATAACATTTATTAAAATTATTATTGATGCCTTGAATTATACAACGGGCAAACACGATAAATACGATTTTATACGTAAAATAAAAGCAATACTAAATTTGCTTTGTCCGCATTTGTAATCGAAGTTTTGCAGGCTTGCGTATCTACGACATCTGACGCTGCGCGCTTCGACGTCTCAAGAACTGTTCAAGAACAAGTTTCAGGAACAAGCACGTCATGCCATCTGTAACTGCTAGTCCGACATATTTCGCTATTGCTACCTTACCCTTCAGTTTTGATTAAATAAATTTCTTATATTTGTATAAAAGAGAAAATACATTAAAAATATAAATTAAAAAATATAAATGCTGCATAAGTGCCAATAGGTGTAGAGTGAGATAAGCGTGAAATGAGCTTCTTCAACAAGCGCGCATTGAAGTTGCAAAATTATTAAAGCACCACGCAACGTTACCAGCCTCACAGGAAGTATAAATATACAAATGTAAAAAAAAAAACGCGTCTTGTATATATTGAGCGTGAGTGACGTCAACGGCTCCATTGAACGCTCCCGCACACACACTGTGAATGCGAGCGGGAATCGCGGAGGCCATTCAAAAAGCCTGCTCCGATAATAACGCTAGCGCCCGGGGGCCTGTCTATTACAATGAGAGACCAGTTTCTATTCGCTATGAGGGTTATTTACACGACAATAATCGAGACCGGCGAATATCGTGATCGGCATTAGGCTGGTACCGGGAGAAAGAAAGACTCCGAGAAAATAACGATAAAACGGCGGATAACGTGGCACGGCGACGGCACCCGAACCGACGTACGTTCAAACGGTGGAGGCGCTCAGGTTAACTCTGTCGGCGACGGCGAGCCCTTTCAGTACGCTACGAGACATCTCTCGGTGTGGTTCACGCGGTCGTAGGCGTCGTAGGAACGTTACGCATTCTCGTCGCAATTTTCACCGAGTTCCTCGCCAATTGTGATCGGCGAGCGCAGGAGAAATGGACGAGAAGACGCTGCAGCTGGCGAAGGCGATGGCAGATACGGAACTGGACGATAGCACGGCAGAGAAGACCGTCGTGTCGCAAATGCTCGACAAACAGCAAACCTTCAGGTAAGATATCACCCTTGACCTCTGTTGGACATCGCTCGAGTTTCAGTTGCGATTTCGATCCACGTGAATTTAAGTGAGAAATTATTTTCCGCAAATGCGATTCATTTTCAAGAGGACTATTCATCGGCTCACGAAATTGAACAAAAAAATATTTGGCGACTAAATTTAAAATTATGTTAATCAATTGTCACACTTTTCGCATTGTTAATGCGAATGGTTCATATGTATGCAACGTTGGAAGTATGCGGTTTTTTTACGAACGCCACGAACTTCCGTTTATTCAAAATCCGGTAAAATACATCGTGCAAAATTCAACAATTCTGTGTAAACTAATTGCGGAATACTCGCGACG